GAGGCCCGGCCGCGCGTCATCTCTAATCCTCTTCTAATCTTGTCGTCCGACATTGATCTGGCTGCTGGCGGCAGTCTACCTCACGCCATCGCCGCCTTGGAGGCGCAGCTGCGCAGCAGATGGTAGGACACGACTAGGTCTCGCTTTCCTGCGTACGCAGACGAACAGGCGACTTGTCGATGGATCGATCGATTCTTCTTCAGCGCGTGGATTGATCGAGCAAACAAGGCCTATTGGCTGTTGTGGCCCATCTGATTGCTTAGCTGATATGAGTAAGGCCCAAACTGCAGAAAACGCCCGGACTGGCCCAGTTAGAGAAGTTTACGTATTTTCCATCGTTTTTTCGTGTTCCTGAGCGTTTTTAGGCACGCGATGGCTAGGAAAGATCGCTATAGTTGAGAACACCGACGGGATCGAGCCCGGGCACGTGCCCAGGGTGCCCGTACGGTGAATCCGCCACTGCCTCCAACCGAGGCTAGCCGGCGTTTCCTGGTGGGGTATGTGAACTCCCTCTTATGCATTCAGCTACACCCCCATGGGGACGTGGAGAAGGGCAAGACGAGTCTTCCTGCACCTGCCGGTCTGGGCTCGAGTACAACTATGCAAACCAAAAACAAGGCTGCCGGTGTGGATCTCCGATGGACCCGTCCGCCTGAGGGATGGACAAAACTCAACACAGACGGATCATTCATGGAAGCGGATGGATCAACTGGAACGGGTATGGTGCTGCGGGACGCTGCCGGCGAGATCATCTTCACTGCATGTCGTGGCCATATCACATGTGATAGTGCTTTGGAGGCCGAACTTGCTGCATGCAGGGAGGGCATTTCCATAGCCCTCCAACGAACATCCTTACCTATGAGAGTTGAGCTGGACAGCGCTGAAGCTGTGTCCATGATACAAGAAAAGGTTCGGAATAGATCAAAATACATGGCCATAGTGCAAGACATCAAGTCTATGTTGACTGATGCTAGGGGGTTTGTCATATCTAAAGTTGGCCGAACCCAAAATAGAGCCAGCCATAGCTTAGCAGCTTATGGCCGTAGAAATCACCGCACAGCTGTACGGCTGGGTTCTGGAGTGGAGGAAATCGTCAGTCTATGTAAGAACGATATTTTGCCACCCCGAGTAATGAAAACCCCCTTTTTTCCCCGCAAAAAAAAAGAAGAAGAAGCCTGTATTTCTAAAAAAAATACACCTGTCTATCGACCCCTTGCGTTTGGAGTTCCTCGGTGGCGGATGATCGCGAGATATTCGCGTCCACACACATGGTCTCCCCATCCGATGGTCCCCGACGCTTGTGAATCTTCCCGTTGGATGGAGGCCTTCCATGGAAATCGCTTTCCTCTTGGCAACAATAAAGCCGGCCGGTGAAGGCGCGTGCATGACCGTTCTAGTCGTTCGCAATATAAAGCCCGGCCGACCGTATTGTATTCTGCGTGTCACGCCTGACGCGGCCTCATCATGTGTGGGATTAAAAAGATGGTTCCGAAGCCAACGGCTCCATTGAGAATTGAGATTCGCTCCTGACCAGTTCGCTGCCGCTAATCATGCCATGCCATCCCGGCCGGCTGGCGGGCACTGGCCGGCTTGCAAAGTCTTCGCTGTCTGCCGCACGCGTGTTCTGCTCCTAAACAGAAAGGGCTCCATGGATAAAAATTGGAAGAAATGGCGCGCTAGATGGGGAAACACACGTGAATCGCATGACGGGGAAACTTCCCTTCTTACCCGAGCTGTTCGTGTTTAGTTAGTTAGTTAATGATGCTGAACATGAGGAGGATTTGAGAAGCGGGAGGGGCACGTTCTGGACGGAGAAGATCGAGAGACACGTTGTCATGAGTTCTGCAATCCTTTGGCCAGTTTGCAGATACCATGGCGGCATGGCCAGCTGCCGCACAACGAGATCGAATTTCAAAGCTGTGCAATCCCATGGCCAGTTTGCAGAATCCGCATGAGTCTTAATCATGCCAAGCATAAACAATAGTTGCAGGAGTACTCCTATTTTCTAAGGAAGATGGGGCAATCTCCCTCCCAGAACCATCCTAATAAACACTACTCGAGTAGTTGGCCCTCTCTCTGTCCGAGGCAATAGCAAGCATACCAATGCAACCGAGGGATGGCACAAATAGAAATTCGCAAGGGAAACAAAGCTAGGCTAATTAGTATTATACCGAACCACCAAAAGTAGGGAGACAATCAGAGACGCACTCGCTGGATTCCCACCCAGATCAACAAGCAATCATGGATGGCACGACCGAAACTTGCAAGTAGAAGAAAGAATCGTCGCAGCAGCTAGTGCTAGCCTAATTATCAGACATTCAGACTGACTAGAGCACCAACAGATAAAGTGGACAATCCAGAGGGCACTCGCCGGATTCCCTCCCAAATCGACAAGCAGCGTATCACAGATTCACAGCCATAGGAAAGAAATCAACCAATCATCCACCAATCCATCAGTTTATACAATACGGCTTGGATTTCGATTTACATCAACGGACACGACCTCTTGGAATTGAGTACTAGTAAAACAGCAGCATGAAAGAAATGTAGTACTCTGCATCTGCGGCGAAGGAGAGCACGGAGCAGCATCTCAACCAACCAACCAACCGGGGCGGGGGCGGGGGCGGAGCGGCGGGTGGCCCAATCAGCCGCGGCAGCGCGTGATGGCGGAGCAGCCGCGGGAGTAGGGGTTGGCCTGGCCGCCGGGGCGGCAGTTGTAGTAGGAGGAGCCGCGCACGGAGCAGGGCACGTTGTCCCTTCGCAGCGCGCCGTAGCTGATGTACCCGTTGCCGCTCTGCAGCACGCGCCGCGCCGCCACCGCCTCGTCGCCGCCGGCGCCCGCGAAGCCGAACCCGTCGTCGGCGACGTCCTCCACGCCCAGCTCCCAGCTCAGCGGCACCTCCGTGGCCCCGGCCTCGGCGCCGCGGGCGAGCAGGAGGGCGGCGGCGGCGAGGAGGAGGAGCGCCGCCGCGAGGGCGGGGGCCTTGGCTGCCATGGCGAGGGAGGGGAAAGTGGAGAATGCTCTGCTTGCTTTCTTGGGTGCGGGTGTGGGGTTTGGTGCTTGTGCTTGGCCTCTGCCACCGGCAAATGGGTTTATACTAGGTGACAGAGCGTTGGGGGTGGGATGACGCGTGGGCCCGGCCTACTCACCGGCCCGGCCCGGCCGCGTGACACCAACCGACTGCCAATAATGCCGGGTGGATGAAGGGATGCGTACGAGCCCTAACAGAGAATCGGAATATATATCTGCCTGCTTGCTGCCGGTCAGCTTGATAGTGCTATTTTATCCGCTTTCGCTGATGGAAAATATATCTGCCTGCTTGCTGCCGGTCAGCTTGACCGGTCGCCATCCTCCACACATCGCCATCCATCCGCCGGCGATCCATCTTGATCTTGGTGAGCTCCAGCTGCCATCAACTGCTCCGGGTTGCCGAGTCGTGCCCTGACGTGAGCGTACGCCGCAGCGCCGGGCAACCACCTCCGTGGATCATCGTGATCGTGACGCTTCCAGCAGCAGTTGGTGCAACCGTGCAATGAAATGATGGCGGATGGAGAACGCCGCTGGTTGGTTTGGTTTGGTTGCGGCCCACCGCATGTGGCTTCACCAACGGACGGACCCGGCCGGTCGACAGGCTCCGGTGGAGCCGTGTGGCCTGCCTGCCTGCTTCCAGCGACTGCGCTCGCACGGTCGGTCGCTGCTGGCTGGCTGCGGATCAACGCGGTCGCCTCGCGTGCTTCGAGGCGCCTCCCACCTCTACTGACAGAAGAGATTAATCGGTAGCGGATACCAAGGTTAGCGCTCGCGTCTGATTTGGCGACGCTGTCCAACGAGCGGGTGCGACTTTCTCATCGGCCAGATGGTGATGAACACGCGGGCTATTGACCCTGCCTCCGTTCAGACTCGGTCGTCCTTCAATGCGTTTCATTAATAATTCATCAATGCGCGATGCGAACAAGTTGTCCCGGAGGCAAGTTGCAGGCTCGGTTAGTGGCCCTTCAAAGCATATGCTCCATCTATTTGACAGGCTGGTTTTTGCATCGTCTGTCGATTTCAACAATGTGTGCATTGGATTTCAGATTCATCCTTGATCTTTTAGTGTGCGAACTTGGCACACGTCTTCTTTTTTACTCTTACGCCACCAGCGTTGTACTTAAGTACACGCCTTTGTGATTCCGTCACCAAATAAATTACTTCTGTTTACAGATAAGTTTCCAAGCTGTTTATGGGTCAACAAATTTCACCCGTTTTGGAGAATCAAAAGCTCGAAATAACTCTTCCATCTTAGGTCAGGAACCTTGATATTGATCCCTTTTTTTATGTAGTCCACTTAAAATAAAATGACGTCATGACTGTCTCATTTCCGTGCACTGCACAAAACACTCTTACAAAAAGAGTGATTTGTATTTTGTTGTCTGCGGGTCAACCACGAAAAAACCCTAGGTTGCTGAGAGGCGATTGCTTGGGTGATCGGGAGGCAGCCGTGGTGAGCTAGGGTTTCACTCGGGGGTGCGGCAATCTACGACGGTGCAAAGGACCACTACAACGTCGTCCAACACACACGCGGTTTAGGGTTTCCTCCTCTGTCGCGTC